ATTTAATTACAGAAAGAGGTGGTGCTTTTGGAATATTTTACCTAGCTTACTGGTTTGCAAATTTTATTGGAACAATGAATGGTGGTTACATCATACAGTATCTTAACTGGCGATGGATATTTTATATTTTATCAATTTATGGCAGTTTTATGTTGCTTTTAATCATATTTTTTATTCCTGAAACTTTTTGTCATGCCTCGACTCCTCAATTTAAATCGAATGGTTCTCTATCTAAAAGTAATTTTAATCCATTTGTTCCATTAAAGTTATTAGTATATCCAAATGTCATACTCTTAGTTATATATATTAGCATAATATCTTCGATAATGATAATTCAAAATATTAGTGTTCCACAAAATTTTTCCGCAAGAACTTATAATCTACAATCATCAAGCATTGGATTATTATTTCTTGCACCTGCAGTGGGATATGCTATTGGAAGTATTGTCGGAGGGAAATATTCGGATTTTATGTTGCAAAAAGCAAGTAAAAATGGTGAAATTATTTGTCCTGAAATAAGAATTAAAAGCGTAACAGTCGGTGCTTTATTAGTTCCAAGTTCATATCTTGCTTACGGATGGTTATTAGAAAATAATTATAATATATATGTTTTAATGACTTTATGGTTCCTTGGTAAGTCAACATGTATCAATTATTTATTATACTGTATTGCTATATTAATAAGGTTTTAACATTCGCTTGTTTTTAAAGGTGCATTTGGAACATTAATTATCTATAATTCATTATCAACTTATCTTATTGACGTGTGTCCGGGTTATAGTGCTTCAGCAATAGCATTGAATAATTGCATAAGACTAATGATTGCTGGTGTTATGGCGATTGTTGGATCTTTAATGGAAGATGCCTTAGGAACTGGTTGGTTCTTTACTTTAATAAGTATAATATGTTTTCTAAGTACTTTTCTTTTAGTATTAGTGTACTTTAAAGGAAAAAGTTGGAAAGAAAATTTTTTCAAAGAGAATAGAGACATTTTGGATTCAATTTGAATATAAACAATTCTCATAATACAAAAATTTAAATAGATTAGCATTTAATTTTTTTGTTAATATAATAATACTTATAAATATTTTATTTGTAATTTTTTTAATTGTAATTTGTAACATTTTTTTTTATTTAGAATATTAGAACTTTAAAAATAAAATTAGATTTTATTTAAAATATTAAAAACTTTCAAACTTATTAAAACTTAGTATTGAAATCTTATAATTTCATATTCTTACAAAAATATCTTATTTTTTATAAAAAAATTTAAGAACATAGAGTTCAAAATATAACATATTGGCTATATTTGTGGAATTTGATAAATAATAAAATCAATTTTTTTATAATAATGGGAGCCAGTAGGGATAAATTCAATATGTAAACTAGACTAAATATCTTGATAAAATAAAATACTTGGTATGTATAATAATAAAAGCTTATACGTACGTAGTATTTGTTTGACTTGGGGTGGTACTGTGTTGGATTTGATGCAAAAAGTAAAACAAACAACATTGTAAATAAATTCGCAACATGGATCTCACATGCCGTACGTACTATTGATAAGCCATAATTGTACATAGTCTGCAGGACAAAAGAATGGAATATCACCCATTTCATGAATTGCAAAAAGATGAAAATTTTAATTAAAATACATATTGAATTTCAACGCATAGTTATATAAAGCACATTATATAATACCTGGAATTATTAAGTATGCCATAACAACGAATCTTAGATATGATAAAATATAAAAATTATGTTAGTAATATAAGGAATTAAAAAA